CAGACAAAAGTAGTTATGTTGAGGCCTTTCTCTTGACAGCTAGGGGGTCTGGGGGAGCGCTGTAAGCTCCCCCAGTGGGGATTGGGGCAAAGCCCTGACGCCAAAATTTGTTTATTTGCTTTCTTCACTGCAGAACCGCATTCTCCTGACATCCACAGCTCATTATTTATCCTATTCAAAAAAGGATCTTTTGAATAATGTTTTACTTGAAAATATTCTAGTATGAATTTATAGGCCTTTAATACATTGCCAAAATCGTTTTCTTGCATTCTTCACTGCAGAAACGCATTTTCCTGACATCTACAGCTCATTATTCATCCCATTAAGATATGACCTTTTGAATACTGTTTTACTTGAAAAATATTCTAAAATGATTTTACAGGCTCCTTCTACATCGCAAATACAACCGATTTGTTCTTGAAAAGATAAGATACTTCACATATTTAGATTAAGACTTTGAGTAACGCCGCCGAAAAAACATCTATTCAAAAAATAATTTTTTTTTAAAAAAAAAGCTCGTTTGTAAGTGATACATTTTGTTCAATAGGCATTTTATCATTTGGTTTGTTACAGAACTATAATTCAAAGCTCTAAAAAAAAACATTTTGGAAGTGGGAGGAGAAATTGAACCAATTAGATTTTATTCTAAATTTTTTGCATTTTTAGTATTCTAGCATAAATTGTGAGTTATTGTCCCAAATTTTTTTTTTTTACAACAGAAAAATATCAGTTTGAGTAAAGGTTGAAAAGATGACTAGGAAAATAATATTTGGGTTCAGAACTCATTTCAATTGTTACTCTTATAATAAGAAATTTCGTATGAATTCTAAATTTTCCAAAACAAAGTCTTTCTTAAAATAGTTAAATTCGTATATAATGACATAAACTCTGTCGCCATATTTGACTTTTCTGTTTTAAAACGTCATCTTTTCATCTGGAAAGGGAAGAGTGCGGTAGAGTAAAAACGTTAACCCTCGCTCCTTTTTATAATTTCTAATAATGATTGCATTTGACATTAAAGAATAGGGGGTGAGGCGACTCAATAAAAGAATTCAATTTATAGCATATATAAATTATATTAGTGACACTTTTTTTATTTTGTAATTTCTTAACTAAAATACGAAAAGAAAAAAGTATTGGTTTGTCCAATGGGCGGAAGGCGATCGCATGTATTGCCCCTCCCACCTGGAACAACCCTTTTTCATTTTATATTTACTTATGATAAAATTTGACATCAGATCGTGTGTCTGACATTATATACCAATGGATTAAAACATCAATATATAGCTTATATTATATAGATATTCAACTAATTTTGTTCATAAACTATGGTTTCTCCATAAAAATAGGACCGCCCCCCCCCCCCTCCCCACTCAGATGGCAAGAGTGGGGAGGGTAGCAGAAGCAATCGCCCCCCCCCCCACCTCACCGAATCGGCTAAGATACCAGAAGTGTAGCAACATAATATAAAAATTATATTGTAATTCAACTAATTTTGTTCACAAACTTTGATTTCTAATTAAAAGTAGGATTAAAACCCCCACTCAGAGGGTTTAGGTTGGAAGGGCAGCAGATGTATTCGCCCCCCTCCCCACCCAATCGCCTAACAGGGGAACAACATAATATAAAGATCGGATAAAATACCAAAAACAAGTTTTAATTATATAGATATTTAATTGATTCCGTTGACAAGCTGTGATTTGTACAAATAAATTGTACCCCCCCCCCCCCCACTCGAAAGTTTATGGTGGGGGGGGGGGGCGGGATTGATGCCATCGCCACCTCCCCATCCCACCAAATCGGCCAACATACTAAAGGATGGGGGGGCGAAATAATCTAAAAATAGGTTGAAATATAAATAATTAGTATATATTATTAATATAACTAATAAATTCGTATACAAATTGTGTGATTTCTTTACTAAAAGTCGTCCGTCCCCTATTGGCTGAGTGGGCAGGGCGATCGCCCCCTCCCTGGATCCGCCAGTGCACGAAACACATACACACTCACAACCAGCGCTTTATGAATTAGACTTCTATGTGCTTCTTGATGATGACAGATGACCTGTTGATTAATATCTGCCAGCTACAAATGTAAAAACTTCTTGTTTGAAATGTTGATTCACATCTACTGTATAAACTTTGTCATGGCCAACATTGAAATGTATTTAATGGTTTTTTTGTAAATCTTTCTTTCTTTTTCAAATAAAGTTTATATCTTTGTGCATACGTTTTTCTTTTTTTTTTTTTTAAATCAGTATGAATAATAATAATATTAATAAATAATATTTTGTGTTCTATTTGGCAGAGATATATTCACCAAATGGGTTGCATCCAGAACAGACACAAACTCCTACCCAGTGAAGTAGCTAGAGAAACTCAACAGTCAAGAAGTTCAGACCCACTGGTAACAAAAAATACAATGAAGGAACTAATGAAAGAAATTACAAAAAAATTTTTCTTTCATAAACTTAAAGATTCTGTATTGGTTTGTTTTTTTCTTGTATGATTCTAATGAAATTTGTTTATGTTTATCTTGTTTTAAATTTGTTGTTCTTAGGACAAGGGCTGAGAAGGGAAAGTTTTGTAAGAAGAATTGGTTGTTTACAAGCCATTTTGTAGGACATGTTATAGTTCTTGTTCATGTTGTTCTTGTGACTTTGAAAAGTTTCCTAACAATTTTTTTAATTCAGCTTTTTTTATTAGGCAAACAGATTCACTTTATATAGAGGTTCCATTGAGTCTGGTAGAAACAAACTGATCTGAAGTAATAACTCTGAAGAGGATAAACAAATAAACACATTTAGTACACTATGATATACACATACACTATGATATATATACTACCATAAAAATATTTAAAAAATTCATTCACTTCATGTTATTGCAGAAATTGTTTTGTCAGCCATAAGCAAAAACATTACTAGCAAAACATGCCATTCTTATTATTTAGTTATAATGTATTTTGTGTGTGTTTAGAATGTGTTTAAACCCTCAGCCCTTCAGATTTTGTGGACATAGTTTACACACACACACAACTTTGTACACACACTCAATTTAGTCATTAGTGTATTTATTAATGACATGAATGTTAATGTTTACAAACTGTAAATGCTTGTTTCTTGTCTCAGCTATGAAAGATAGATGTGGTTAAACTATTAACCAAAACATTAACTATTGACTGTCTTAAATGTTAACATTTGGTTTTGACCAATTTAATGGATTTGTAACTTCAAGTCTGGGGTTTTTTTTTGTTCTGATGATTTGTAGTTGACCTTCGTGTTTCAGTTTATTAACTCTTTCTCTCCGTAATTATTTACCACATACTGGTGGAATCAATGTTGGTATCATCAGTTAGGAGAGAAAGAGTTAATACTGGAGACAAACAAAGAATCTGTGTGTGCGCTGCTTTTCACTTTGTCAATTTTCTGTCACAATTCATGACCAATGTTTTGCTACTAGTGAGGTATGATCTAGAACATTCCTTCATGGGTGTGTATGTGTCCAAAGAGTAAGTATGTTTTTTATAACTTGTAATGATTTCCTGCAGAGATTCTTCATAATAGATACTTCATTATGTTAAACAATTAAGATCTCGACACTGTATTTTTTATCATTCTCTATTAACCTTGATACCATTTAGTCTGAAACTGCATGGAGATGTCATAATGATGAGATTATCAGCTATCTGTTCCCTAAAGATTTCATACACTTGTATTGTCTAATGTCATTTTACTTTGTTTTTTTAGAGGTGCAATAAGAGTCTAAACTAAAAGTCAGTTTGAATGGAACATAAATGTGTATACAGTTGTCAACATCATTATCATTTACAATGTCACCAGGATTTGTTTACTTTATACACTATGTCTAGTACTCAAGTACATGATGGTATAGAATTATTTTTTGACATGTTGGACTGTTTTGCTTTGGTTTATAAATACATTTTTTTCAAGTGAAGCAGTTGGTTTAAAACATTGTTTTATCCTGGCAACGCAATCATAGAGTATACAATGGCTATTGCTATTGTTGATCTTTATTATGAATACTATTTTTTTTACTTATAAAACTAACTTGTTTTAATGCAAAACATATTGAGGATTAGCTTCAAGATTCTTGGACTCTATATTCAAATAGAACAGAATGTTAACTTGTTAATCATGTCATTGAACTAGTTTTATGTTTGACTTTGTATTTCACTGTGTAGGTCCAGTGGTTTTGAAAGGTTCGAATTTTCAATGATGATCGAGTTACACTTTATGTGGGGGCTTAAGTGATAGAGCACTGGGTTGTTGAGCTTAAGTTCCTGGGTTTAAGTCTTTGAAAGAAACCCAGTTATTCCTGAGTCTTGTCAGCTCTAACAATAATGTTACAACTGAGGACCACCAGTTCTAAGAGCTATCTGTGTAACTGCAGAACATGAACAGTCTAAGTCTGTTTCACCTGGGGAGGAAAGGGGGGGGGGGGGTGTAGTGACATGAAGTGTTTACCTTTCCAAGACTTTTTTTTTTCTTTAATAAAAGAAATTTTGTAAAATCTCATCAATAAACATATTTTTATGACTTTTAAAGAATTTCTTTTTGAAATGTTTGTGTATCTTATTTTAGCTATTTTTTCTAAGTTTTTAACATTTTTTTTTAGAGAGTAAATCATAAAAAAAAAAAAAAGATAAAACTCATGGGCAGCACCTGAAGGACAGTTGTAAACAAAATTCTAAGCTGCATACTGGTATAAATTATGTATTGTTTGTTAAGTAAATTACATGTATGGGTTTTAAAAACAAAATCAAACACTTTTTAACTATTTTAAAAACTTTCATTCATTTGGCAAATACTTAAACTTACTTTTCTTTCCCTTTCCATATTGTGGTCATTGATAATGATGTCCAATTTTAATTATTGCCAATATATTATTTTCGATTTTGGGAAGATTTGGATGGACAGACAATACAGGGGATGCTAACAGTTAATACCGGTATCAAAAACAATGAACAAAATCCAGAACTTTTGACCAACAGCAATGTATTGATTCTTAGAAAAAATAAATGAAATATTTACATCATCAAAACCCAAAAATAAAACATAAAATATTAACATTTAAATTAAAATAGAAATATACATTTATGAGACAATAACGTAGTTGATCAAAGTCTAAGCGTCTGCCATAAATACAAAGGGAATAAATCAACTTCTGCTAAAGAAAGGAATGGCTAACAATTCGATAAACACACACAATGAAGCACAAATATAAAATTTGTCAGTGTTATAAACAAAAAAATGTGCAGGAGAAATGAAATCAACATAATGGTTAGACCGAGATCATCCGTTATAGAAGGCTTGAACACTGACCAGCAACTCTGTGCAACCTGTGGGCAGTTTAGACCAATAGATTGTTGCCACATCGGGACGTTGCAGGTCAGTGTTCAAGCCTTTGATGACAATTGGTCTCGGGAAGCTTAGACTCTCAAGTAAATAACCTTCAGAAAAAAGGCTTGACAAATTATTAGACAATACTTTGATTTGTATATTTGTGAACTAGCAGAAGTCTATGATAGGAAAAGTCAAAATGAAACTTTCATTCTAGCCGTGATGAACAACTAATGTACAGTAAAAATGAACTATTTACAGGCCAAAACTTTGATTCTTTTTGGAGTTTGATTAATTATAAACCTTCTCTAACAAGTCTTGATACTCTGGGAAGACAGTCTAACAGGTTCAGTGTTGACAACTCAGAAGTAAACTTCCCCTTTCAGACAATGTGGTCTATAGTGCAGACGATGTAAGGGTCATCTGTTTCTGTGATCCATGGTTAACAAAGGTGTCATGTGGCCAGCACAATGACCAACCAACTTTACCTTTCCCCAACTAATGCCAGGAAACTATAGAGCTGGGTGCACTCAGATCCTGAAATAAAAAATCTTAGTCATCATCAGAATTTAAACCCGGGGATTCGGAAACCAAGCGCTTTACCACTCAGCCATTGCACTTCTGTTGACAACTCAGGCTTTCTTAAAATAGAGTAGAGTTGAACATCTATATATTCAGATAATAGCCAGAATATCAGCAATAGAGTTTCACTGTTCCAATTCATGAGAAGCTTGCAATCTCCTTGAATAAGTTAAGATTTGGTATTGGTATAGATATGGTATTGTTCCTGATATCAAAAGAAGACATGCAAGATAAAATTTCAAACTAATCCTAGAATTATGCTAAGAAAACCTGTCTTTTCAATTTTAGGCTATGTCAGTGACTTGTCAGCTTTAGGTCATGGTTTGTCAGTTCTAAGACATCTTAGGGATTTGCCAGTTATCAGCCATGTCAAAGGGCGTGTCAGTTCTAGGCCATCTCAAGGACTTGTCCCCTATAACTGTGAGGCATCAAGACATGAATCATCCCAACAGAAAACAATATCAAGTTATCCAATTGACAACTTCTTTCCTTAACAAGTTTCAGCATACATCACAAGGGAAAAAAAACTAATAGACTTGGTGGCCAAGCCAGAACTACAAGGGAGATAATTAATAAAATGTATGATTAAGTCAGTAATGCAAGGGCAATAACAAATATAATTATTGGCTAATTCTCACTAGTTCATTATAAGGAAGACCAAGCATATATCTAGACTAGATCTAAATCAAGTGTTCACTATAATACCAATTTATTCACATGTTTTCACTCACGCAATAGTCTAACCAATGAGGCCAAGACATCATTAGATTATTTTTTAGATTATTTTAGATTATTAATTAGATTGATGATTTTAAGAAAAAAAAATATTTTGAAAACAATGATGTATGTAAACAGATCTAGATTTATTGCGAGACATGATTGGTTTGATTAGCATAACCTGTTTGATTGATAAAGTGGTTTGATTGACTTAGTTATTACAAACAAATAGATATCTAAACATTCTTGGAGCATGGTTTCTCTTGACTCAAATCATGTTTATTTAAGTTTCCCAACAAATATTAATATTCAAATAAAAATCTTTCATTCAACAAGAAGCCTACAACATACCAACAACATTTGTACAATTTTTTGTATTTACAAATGAATATTGTCAAACTGTGAGGCTATTAAACACAGAGATCTTGTTAACAAAATAAATAAATGAATCTAACTGGCAAACTTAAAACAAAGTAAACTCGATACAGATCGTTGTGTGATAAATGCAAATATTCTGAGCTCTACAAAAATGAAAACTGTATATATACAATGAAAGGAGGGGGGGGGGGTGAATAAATAAACCCAATGTTTACATGTTTTGAAGTACAAGTCATTGAATGATCAACTCATTTTTTTATAGTCTTTACTAATAAAACATAGACTACCTCGACAGAATGGTAAAACGACCTTTTAAAAACCTAAAAAGTTCATGTGAAATGTCGAGTGAGGTGAATGAGTGGTGAGGTGGTAGGCTTCAGAACCGAGGTGTAACGGCTTCAAATTTTGGTGAAGATGGGATTTTGAAGTTCGGGATTTTAAGGGTGCCTCTGAGACCACCCTACTTGAATGGGTACCTGACGATTCTTAGGGATAGTAAAAGCAGTGCTGGACACATGATACCCTCGTTAACTGTTGGTCATACAAACAGGAGAAATTTACATCATCTGCCTTACAGATCACAAGGCCTTAAAGGGGAACTTCACCTGTTTTGATGATTGATCAACTCATTGGATATAGTGTTTACCAAAAACACATACAGAACATTCACAGAATGGTTAAGTTTCCATTACAAAGCCTGAAAGTAGATGTGAAATAAAAGGCTGTTGAGGTTGATAGATGACAAATGTGTCATGTGATCAGCAGAAAAGTCAGCCCCCTTTGCTCAATTAAAATTACTGTACTTCATTCAGATTGGAACACAAGACCCTCAATTCAGAAGCCAAGTGCTTTACCAAACAATCGGTCTCAATAACTGATTACTGATCATTTATTACTATCAAAGTTAGAGTGAACTTTCCAGAATCAATTTAATTATAAAACTAATGATGCACGAAACAAGAATATTTCTTATTAGCAAACTTCAAGCTACATATGTATGTACTAGAGTCAATGACAATGTGTTGTCAAAATATTTAATTGATAATAAAAATATAGTGTCATTTTGTTTTATTTCTTACTTGGCTGCACACACAGATATTAAATTCATATACATTTAGATCTAGATCTACATTTACTTTTGACTAAATATATTTTTGTAATCTTATTTGAACAATAACTAACCGAATATGACCCGCGCCTGGGGGGGGGGGGGGGGGTATTTGCTTGGGTATTACGAATCTACTGGATAGAATTTAGATCTAGATCTGGATTAAATATCAAAATGGAGAATGTTCCATTTACATTTTTCTATTTTGCAACGAAAATAAAAGTGGGGTGAAAACGGGTTTACCCGTTAAGAGAACATATTCATATCAAATATAAAATACTGTGAAAACGGGTTTGCTCGATTATCTTAAAAGGTTTCGTTCTTTATAATAGACATACAATTAGGTACTCTTTGTCTATTTTTAGGGCCCTCCACCTGTGGGTAGGGACATTAAACGTAGACTACGGCCTCTGCCATGATCTAAGGAACAATTATACCAAGTTTTATTAAGATAAGTCAAACGGTTTTGATTTTTAGCCGGGCCACACATACATGCATACACTTCTGCATGATTTCAAGGGGCAGCCATCTTTGTTATTGTTTAGACTGTAATCTTGTATCTTGGGTTTTCTCTCCGATTTGGGTTTTTGTTTGTTTTTATTTTTGAAGGTAAATAATATGCTAGATCTAGCTATACCGGTATCATCTAGTCCTAATAAGTCTATTAATTAGACTCATAATCTAACTGCTAGAACTAGACTAATTACTATATTAATATGACAAGGTTAAAGGCAATAAAGGTCAATTAATTTTTGGTAATAAACTGTGCTGATATTTATTGTAGGCCTAGTTAAATTTAGATTCTCTATATCAGAATAATTCAGAATAGATATTGACAATATTTAACAAGTAAAAAGAAGACAAAACAATAAGAAACGTATTGTATTGACACCAAGTCAAAATTAAAAGAAAAAATAGCATTGTTTTGAAAACACAGAAGTAATGTTAATTCTTGGTATTTTTTAAGACACTATTTTGGGATTTCTTTGGAACATAAACAATAACAAAGTAGCAAAGATGGCTGCCCCTTGAATTCCTGCAGAATTACCCATACACTTTACTTTCTGCTTAATATATTAGATGTACCTTTAAAAAAAAAAAAGATTATTATTGATTTGATTTTTAAGCTCTTTGTTTAACTAGATGCTACTGACAACTTGAATGGGTACGAAATGGAGTGTGTTAGAACTAGCACAATCAATGTCTGAATTATCTTATATAATACAGACGTTACTTCAAAAAAGAAGATGATTACGTCCTACGCGTCATGCATATTAACCAATGACTTAAATTCTGCCAAGTCACTGGTTTTTCTGGCTAGCTCATGCAACCCATTCCATGCTCTAATAGCACTAGGGAAGAAGGAGTATTTGTACAAATTTGTCCTAGCATAGGGGACAAGGAATGTGCCTAGTTATTTATGAAGTTATTTACACGCATGAGAAGCATGTGTAAAGATAAGATAAGAATTTTATTGATTTATTTTGTTTTGGGCAAATCTGCTGATAGATTGAAGTATTACAGACTAGTCTAGTTACATTCACTATTAACTTATTTCTAGCAACTACAGTAGAACTCATCTACACTCAGTACAGCCTCTTAAACTGACAAAAGCATTTCACTATGTCATGTGTCACTATGTCATTGAGGCGACATCTATACAGTAGTGAATCATTCACATTAGTCACTCACCATTGGATGATATTATGTTTACATTTTCTTTAATTTAATAAAATTTGTCTATGTTAGAATGATATGTCTTGATGGTATATATGTCTTAATGATATGAACATAAAATTATATTAAATTTATTATTTACAATACAAAGAATGCAAGGAGATATGGTCTGCTGATAAGACGAGACAGAATGGCATGAACAGGACTCTGTTGAATCAAGTCATTTAGAACTGTACACATTTATAATGAGTTTCAAAATAAAACTAGTTTGCATTCAGTTGGTTTCTTTGGACATTGTACAAAGTCAAAAAGCTAATTCTAGATACATATGACTTAATATTAGACTGAGGATGAACTAAGTCTACCAATGATCTAGCAAGCTAGAGAGTTGAATCTAAATTGGTGCTCAATTAATCTTTAAAGGTTAATATATTTCTTCAGAAACTAAAACAACATCCTAGCCATATGAAGATTATTACATCCTAATCCAAACCCTGGGGATGTCAGTTGGCAGGTTTCAAACCAGGAACTATCATGACAACTGTCTGGAGTGTATACACCACACGACCAGGCAGCCATTCTGAGACCACAACTATTGAACAAAAAAAAACCATAGAGGCACTGTCTGGTTTCCAATAAACAGATGTAACATTCTAGATAATTGATGAATTCAATAACTAATTTTTGTTCACACTAGGAGCTGGTTAGAATCTTTTAAAAAGTCAATTTATTAGGCTAGCATTGGTTCTACATGTACAGACAAGGAATTGTTTCCTATCTCCTGTCACTCAATGAACAAACTTATTTATTTTAAATCTTTTTCACTTTCCCTAGTAACAAACATTTTGCAATGAGATACCTAGCTAACAAAAACATCATTTATATCTTAGGTATTAAAAAGCTTATTAAATGTTTCAAACAATATCAACCAATTCTTATGGTTAGTTTGGATAACTTAATACACTAAACAATAAGCTTTATTTAATCAAATTCATCATTTAAATTACAAAGTTTTCAGTGTCAACTAGTTAAAACCAAACAAAAAAACGCACAACTATTATTTAAATAATTTAGCTTTTTAGAGATATTTGTTTTGCAGGCAACAATAGTATTTATATTTTTAACAAACTAGTGGTTTAATAACATCAAGACTTAGTCAATGTACACATAAGAGAGAAGCAGTACCCACACATATGAATACACAATCTATTAAGAACTAGATTATCCATGACACAACAGAATAAAAACAAAATGTGCTGAGATGCTGGACTCCATAGTGAGCTTCTTCTGGTCTCATAAATTAAAGATCTGTTATATGATAGGACTTGTGGGGTAATGACGGAGGCTGGCTCCCTGAAGACGAAAAGTGTGATGCTGGTCGCTGAGGAAGAGGAGGTGGGGGTCCAAGCTGTGGAGATAACGGCGGGCCGTACTTTGAGCCCCCGTTGTAGGCCTGCGCCCCAGATTGAAAGTGGCTGTGATGGGGAGAATTCACGTAGCCCCCTCGGCTGTTGGAATTATCGATGCTTGAGAAAACGCTGTGAGCAGGGCTGGACAAGTTGCTGTGTTGGAGGAGGTAGGCGTAGTTTTCGTTGGACCTGTGAGCTGGGCTGCTGTGGTTGCTGCTACCAGATGCACTACTCACTGTTCCTCCAGAGTAAGGGGGCGGGGGAGGGGCTCTTGATGGACCATCCCCAGATCTTGGATACTGTTGTGAGTTATGAGCGTAGGAGATACCGGCAGGGGTGTTGCCGTGGATGGGACTCCCCGGGAAGCTACTCTGACTGCCACCACTGCTATGGCTGCTTCCTATACTTGCTCTGCCTCTGGTGTATCCATTCATAGACATTCCCGCATCACCGTTGATCATTGAACCATTGTGGTTATTAGACAGTCCATTGTGAAGTCCATTATATCCTTGGCCACCACTGTACACTTGGCCGCCAGTGTGACCATTATTTCCTCCTACCTGGCCCATCACTAAAGGGGGCACAGTACTGATGCCCGCATGCATGGGCACAGCTGAATACTGGTGAGTTAAAGGATGGGTATCAGAACTGGCATCGCTTCCTCGACGCATTTCCCCGCGGTTGTGAATGTTAAAGGTGAGTGGATCCATGTAGAAACTCTCGTTGGGGTACTGGGCATTCAGACGAGCAATGTGACAACTGTGGCAAAACAAGTGACCATCCAGTGGATAACATCTTTTATCCGCCTCATCCGTCAACTGCAGCCCACAATCCTTGAAGGAAAAAAAAATTTAATGAAATTAGTTTTACAGAAAGAAGCAATAACTTTAGTATTAAGCTTTCAAGTTGAAAAATAATTTATTTAGTATTAAAAGAGCTCAATTACTTTTGCCTTATGATTAGCATGAGAGTACTGGTAGTTAAAGAATGTAAAATAACGCACAGACAAGCAAACATAACAA